AGAGGAAGGAAGTTGGTCGATCTGAATTAACATCGAAGGATGGACAGAGGATGAGAAGAGAGACGGAGAAAGCTTGTAAGGAAGAGAAAAGTGACTGATACACGCATCTTGTATGCGAAATCGTAGAGTTGTCGATAGATGTGAAAAACGTCACTAGTGTGGAGGTTCATTTTGATAGAATTGGAAAAGGGAATCACAACTTTCGAGCTTTACTCTCCAACCTGGGCTGTAGGGTTCACTAGAGGGCGATCTTGTAATGTTGAAAAGTATTCTTCTAAAGGATACCAAACTGACACACTGTGTTCTGTTTATTAATAAGATATGCAAACCCTCTAACCCTACGCAGAAGATAACGCACCTTAACATCAGGTTTTACACGTTTACATAATTATGGTTTATGATATATTATCATTATGACATTCGAATTTTGACTCTGCCTCCTTTGGTTTTTTTCCCTCTTCTCTACTCTCATGATGAATTCAAATGTCCCTACGTGGTGATTGCCGTAACATGGTAATAATAATGTTTTGAAGTGCGTTGAAATCTTTCAATTTAAAACACAACTTGAATCTAGCCCCCGTTGTTACCTCCCCATGCCTACGTGTTACGCACTGTATTTCAAGAAAAAGAAAAGGACCCGCTGCGAATGGAAAACAAGAATAAATAGAGCTGTCCATCGCATAAACAACGAAACAAAAATGCTAATTACACAGATGATAAACGACGAATGATGCTGCATCAATGTATTTGGCGGGAAGGCATGAATGCTGATGTAAGCCTTGCAAGTTGGAGGAAATGGGAAGATTATGCCGTTTTCTTTCTGCCTTGTCTGATGAAATATACAGATTTATCTGCGGCTTTGTTTTGTTTTGTTTGTTTTGTTGTTTTTTTGGCTTGGTACGGGTTTGTTTTTTGTTTGTTTTTGTTGTTTTTTGGGGGGAGGGGCATTTATTATTTTTTTTGTTTGTTGTTTTTTTTGGGGGGGGGGATTTGTTTGTTTGCTATTTGTTTTGGAATGTGTCTTTGTTTGCTTGTTTTTTTTGGGGGGGGGGTTTGTTGTTTGTTTGTTTGTATGTTTCTGGCAGGGTTGTTTGGTTTTTTTTATTTTTGTATCTCCCGTTTATCAGGAAGAAGGTTTTGCTTGACTGGAATCTCTGTGCGCATGTTTTTAGCGTGGAAAATATTACACAGGAGACGAAGGGGTCATAACAAAATATTACACCTGGCCTAGAAAATCTGTGGAGCATTGGTGGCACCCCAGTGAAACGGGAGTTGTACCCTCAGTAGTAGCCACAGACGCGTTTGGTTCGATGTGTGTGGCTGCCTTCAACAAATGGGACGTCCTGTCAAAAGCCACTGCTCCATTCCATGGCGAATAAGGATTTAAAGGGGACAAGGAATCAGCCCGGGTACAAACAGATGCCCCAAAGATGAGATTCCGTCTGGGTTCTGGAATCCTGTCAGCCCGGAGATGGGTGGAAGTTATGGTGAGCGCCATTCGGGAACAAAACAGAATAAAGATGGTAGCAGAAGATAAATGGAGCCCTCAGTAAAGTTGCTATGATTCTGAACAAAGAAACAAAGAAATAAACGATTTTACTTTGTTTGGGGGTCGCCTTCTTCTTCTTTTTTTTCTTTTTCTTCTTTCTTCTTCTTCTTCTTCTTTTACTTCTTCTTCTTCGTCATCTTCTTCTTCTTTTTCTTCTTCTTCTTCTTCTTCTTCTTCTTCTTCTTCTTCTTCTTCTTCTTCTTAAGAATTTAACAGCACTTGCAACACAAATAAGTCATAATACATGCACAAGTGTTGAAGATTGGAGGTTTTACTAGACAGTAACATACAAGCAAAAAAAAAAGGTGAGAGAAGGACGATATATTTTTTATTGGAAAGAAAGCATCAGCTCTATCAGAACATTTTGAAGTTTTGTCTTTTTGCGGAAGATTTTCACACCACTCCGGTTTCATTGCTAGTGAAGTCGTATACTAACGTTACATAAGCGATCCAGCCTACTAGATTCCATGAGACCGAATAACACCAGAGTGGTAACACATTGAGGACGCGCATTTTAGTTATAGACAATGCTTGAAGATGCGCTGTTCTGGGGCATAACTTTATAATTCAAACAGATTTATTAAATCTGTTTTCTTTATCTGAAACCTCAATGGGTATGCAAGAAAACGAATACTAAGAACAAAAAAACAAGAATATGTTTTTTAGTGTGTATGGTGGTTTGAAATGTGTCAAAACATTGCCTTTATTCTTTTTCTGATCGGACATATGTCCGCTACGTTATCAATGAGATAAGAGACCTTGTCATACAATACCAGACCCAGATGTGTGCTGTAGCTCAGACAGGTATACAAAACTCTACAAAAAATAAAGTTGTTTTCTTTCTTCTTTTCTTTTCTATCTTTGATTATTTTTTGAATACTTAAACCATTACTTTGTCTTCACAAATATCCAGGTTTCACCTCATCCAAAATCACCATCCCTTTTTCTTATTAAGATTTTATATGTCTTTAAACTTTTTTTTCAAAGCACCGATGTCCTATTAAATTGAAGTAAAACGAGGCAGTGGTAGTCCCAGAGCAACCTACTTAGGGAACTTAAACAAATGGGTAACCGGGAAAGATCAGGGAAACGTAGCTTTTTAAAGAGCATCGGCGCAAAGGAATTAATGGAGAACCATGATCGCCGGTCTCCCCTGCTGGTGGGGGGCCCCGTAATTTTACTATGGGGGAGCAAAGAATGCACCTGCTGTGATACTGCGTGTCGTAAGAGGCGACTAAAAGTCCATAGGTCTGGTCGCCCGAAAAGTGCCAGTTTGCGGAGGGTCAACTACCCAAACCAGTAAAAAAACCCAGTAAGTTACAGAAACACGAACAAACACAGCTTTTTATTTTTCGATCTTGGGAGAGGGAGGATCTTCTGCATCGGCAGGAACAGTGAAGGACAGCGGACAAAGCCGAAAGGGAACCTGGAGAAGAATTACAGAAATCGATGTACAGAAAAGTGGGAAGACATGGAATAACATCAAGAGGCTAGCCCAGGATAGAGAAAGGTGGAAGGTGTTTGCCCGTGGCCTATACCCTGGTGCAGGGTGAGAAAGGCAATGATGATCGCCGGTATATGTCGCAGATCGGGCACTGGATGATGATGATGTCCTATTTGATGTGTGTTGTTTCGATGCTACTTAAATAAAGGGAGTAAATTCAGTTGCAAACAGTTCAGTGCAAATTGTAATATAACGTAGGGGATAGGGGTTGGGAGGGGGGGGGGGCGTTGGTGTATTTCCTCTCTCGAAAGTCCCATAACACGATGAATGAACCCAGGGTTTTCACGGTTATTAATACGGGGATCACATTTTTTAGATAAGATAAGATAAGATAAGACAAGATCAACTGAGTATCGTTTGCTGCAGATCACACATAATATAGCCACTAAAACTATCGAAAATCAATTGTTTTCAAGAAAATGTCAAACCTAGCTGCAAAATATCAAATTATTGGTTAAGACAGGGGAGCATGCAACCCACCTGCAATCCCCCTGATTTATTTTTTTACGTGGTCAAGAGGTACAAAGCATTTTGATGGGTCTGTCTCCGTTGGAGACGTCTCCGAATAGATACTGCGCCGAAGTACATCAGTGATACCGTGTAATTGATGTGTTGTGCCTTGAGAAATTGAGAAAAAATGTATTCCTCTGACCGTCACACATGCATATCATTTTGCCACCACTAACACCTCCCAACAAATAAACACACACACACATGCGTGAACGCGCGCACACACACACACACAAACACACACACACACACACACACACACACACACACACACACACACCCGCGCGCACTCAAACATACACACTCATATTACACACATACTATGCAGTGCGTGTATGAGTGTATGTGTGTGCGTGTGTGTGTTTGTGTGCGTGTGTGCATGTGTGTGTGTATACGTGTGTCGTCACACATGTAAAAACGTGCACCTATGCCAACATTAATTTTTTTAACTTTTTGATAGAGTACGACTGCCTAATGCATTTTTCTAATCTCCCCAAAACTGTTTTATAATTTTCCTCAGCCAGAGGCGTTCGAACGTTCAATAGTCTCTTTCGGAGATAGAAGCCAGTAAGTGTATGCTAATTACTGAAACTTCATTTATTCTAGACGTTAAGGATAACACAATTAGGTGGTCTGGACATCTCACACGTATGGCACCCCACCAGCTTGCCAGTAAAGCGTACTACAGGAAAGTATCAGAATACAGGCAAGAGGAAGACCAAGAAAGACCTGGACCCTGTGAGTGAAGGATACCTTGAAAACATACAATAATATCCCGCCCAGCCAGGCCATAAAACTTGCTTGAGATAGGGAGCTCTTTCTCACCTCGACGCCCTAGAGGTACCAGAGGACGGATAAAGTAAAGTAATTTAAGGGTAACACATGGACCATGTATGTTATTATAATAATTTTGCAATCCTTACCTTTGTATCGAAAGTCCTTCATCGGCGTAATTAGAACATCCAGAAAAACAAGCTGCGTATAGTCCATACTACAGACTCATCACACATTTTCTTGCCTGCTTATTCTGCATTCAGAAAAAGACGTCATGATGCACTCTCACTTTGAACAAAGTAATCACATCAGATTCTGAGAGGTTTGCTCAATTTTGTTTGCTTGCAATGCTGCCTAAGCGTGTGCAGATCAGGAGGCAATCAGAAAATCGCAAGTTTTATTAAGTTGTTTTTTTTTCACAGTCCCTTTGTCACCAACACAATCACTGATTTTTTGGGGGGTTTAAGTCTGTCTTTGTTTCTGTTTCGAAAGAAGTTGTCTGTCAATAGTATTGCATCTGACAGTTGTTGTTAATCAAAGCAGTGTGTCGACATGTTGTTGTCGTCGATGTTGTTTTTGCTGCAAATAACGATGTTGTTGTTGCTGCCGCTGTCACTCTTGTTGTTATTGCTGATTGTTGTTATTGTTGTGGTGGTTGTGGTGGTGTCGTTGCTGCCGCTGTTTCTGTTGTTGATGTTGTTGGGTTTTTTTTGTTTTTACTGCTGCTGTTGTTGTTGTTGTTGTTGTTGTTGTTGTTGTTGTTGTTGTTGTTGTTATGGTGGTGGATGTTGTTGTTGTTGTTGTGTTATCGTTGTTTTTTTATTTTCTTTATAGTTTTACTTTTAATGTGGCTGATTACGTTAAGTACTGTCTCCTACGTGACGAAGTCAAACTACAGCGTGAAACACAACCACGTGAGAGAGACTGTGGGTGGCACTGGGTAGACTGGAAGAGAGGCAGAGGTGACGGGCCAATGCATGCGCACTCTCTTTCTCTCTCTCTTTCTCCCTCTCCCTCTCTCTCCCTCTCTCTCTCCCTCTATCTCTCTCCCTCTCTCTGTCTTTTTCTCCTCTCTTCATTCGGTCACACACACGCACACACACACCCACTCTCTCTCTCTCTCTCTCTCTCTCTCTCTCTCTCTCTCTCTCTCTCTCTCTCTCTCTCTCTTCCTCAAATCTCTCTTTCTCTCTCTCTCTCTCTCTCTCTCTCTCTCTCTCTCTCTCTCTCTCTCTCTCTCTCTCTCTCTCCTCACTGGCAGCAGACAATCCACGAAAGAAATGTCTCATCGGTTCACGCGCAAATACTCCCCTTCCCACGAGAGCTGTGTTGAGGCTGTGAGCGTATGCGCGTGCGTGGTGTGAGCAGCGAGTGCGTGGGAGTGTGATAGATCAGATTGAGCGTTACATAGCCAGAGTCATTAGACTTTATGGCTGCTATTTGTGAGTTTAGGGTTCCCATAAATTTTACAATTTTACGTTTTAGACACTATAGCCCGATAAAAATCAGAATAAGGACATACAAATTATACTATTTAACTGAGAGAGAGGGAGGACACGTTTTGTTTGTTTGTGTGTGTGTGAGTGTGTGTGTGTGTGTGTGTGAGTGTGTGTGTGTGTGTGTGTGTGTGTGTGTGTGTGTTTGTATTTGTGTGGTTTGTTCGTTTTTTGTTTGTTTTTGTCAACCAGTTTTTTGTTGTTGTTACATGTATTATAATACTTTATAGACATAGCTTGAAAAACCGCGTCCTTGCATATAATTTCCAGTGTTGGGTTTTCAAGAGGTTAGATTACTTTTTTAACTTGTTTTTTAACATCGAATAAGATAAGATAGAGTAAGGGCTTTGGAAGGGGGGGGGGAGTAACCTAGAGTTTGCCTAGCACATTTTGGAAGGTTATAAAATATTCACTTGTTGTCGGTGTTCAAGAACAAAGATCCATTAGGCCTAGCCAGCAGAATGACATCAAATATGGCTGACGTCTGGGGTGAAGTGGTTGGTTGCTTCGCCGTCACAGGCAAGAGACGGGAGTTCGATCTCCTTTTCATTCTTTTTTTTTTATTTATTTTTTTGGGGGTAAGTGATTTACGGCGTTCGCAAATGCATAAGGTCATAACATGAGTGGCGCGCAGGACACACAAACATTTTCAGTTGGAAGGAAATTTTGAATTTTGCCCGGGAGGCGGCCTTAGCCTACTCTTATCAATTTTGAACCAACAAGGGATCTTTATCGTGCGCAACTTGCACACGGGACCTCCGAGATCTTTCGCTCTTGTCCAAGAGGGCTAGGTGTAGATCTTGCTTACCAGAAGATCAGGGGTATGGCTGAAAGACACCAAGGAGTCAAGCAGTAGCAGTAGAAAGGCTACAGAAAGAAGGAGTCCAGAGGAAGGGGGAAAAGGGGGTGAGGGGTAGAGGCAGAAATTGGAGACGAAAAGCAGATGACAGAACACTGTTAGCGAGCAGGAAAGGAAGTGAAAGGAGAACATTTTCAAGAAGAAAGTTTTCCGTCGCTCTTCGAACCCGAGACCTATTGAATAATGAGAGGCAAACACCTTAACCTCTAGGCCACGACAGCCCCCCCCCCCCACCCCAACCCGTTTGATCTCTCGATCTCCTGAGTCAGAAGAAGTGTTTACACGTTCCTTCCTCCATCGTTCTGCTTGAGCGTTGAATCCCTCTCAACATTGGTAGGTTCTGACAGTCAGGATCGAAGCAGTCCGCTTGCTAATAAATACAGTATCGGTGGAAGAGAGTAACTTTCATACTTACATTTGTGAGGCATCGTAGTGAAATCAGGTGCTCGTCAAAATGATGAAATCGAAAAAACTAGGCATTTTTCTGTCGGCTTGGCAATTCTTATCGAATTTTCGGGGGGGGGGGGGTGGTTTGACTCAACACCTTGAAGAGTGGATTTTTACTGAAAAATGTTGATTTACGGCACAAAAATGAAAATTTTCAGTTTCTAAGGACTCTCAAGCTTTGTAAGTCGCCAAATTTTTGGCAGCCGTTTTCTTGTTAATTTTACCTCTGAAACCAGGCGACCTCCGTCTCCTTCAATCACACATATCTCGTCGTCTATTCATGATTGATGAGTATTATTTTCACCGGAAGCAGGACAAATGAGCAAGCTTTAATAAATGATACCAATAACTCCACATGTCCAAGAATAAGGACAAGAGCCTGATTTCATCACGTCTTCACACATTTTTATGACACGAAACAGCAACACATTGTTACCTTTAAACGCCAAAACATTCGCAAATTGGGAATACGTTACTGACGAAATCGGTCGCTTTTAAGGACAAGCGGGCTAATCCAGATTTCAGGGTTTTCCAGAAATCTTGACCTACACCAAAAGTGAGCATTGCCCTACCTATAGGAGAAGTTTGGTTTAATTGGTGTTTATATTTTTTAAGGATAGCCCCCCTGTGCTTAAAAGCGACCAATTGCACACGGAAATCAACATAACACGTATACAGTTTCTGAACATAGAGTAATGACCGCATTACATCGTGAGATCTCTATCAAATTTATATCATATCTCTCTTGAGTCTTCACGTCGAGGCACGTAGGTAACATTAGCTTTGATAATTTATTACCTAGATCTAGTAGTAGTCGGTGAAGGGGTCATGTTGAGGACGCGACCCTTGTTATGGTTTGTCCTACCCACCGGAGCTCTCTATACATGTAAAACTTTAACTGTGGAGAGATCAGTGAAGACGATGCTTTCTGTTCTTATGAATGAATGCACGCTTGTTTACGCGACGACTATTTGTTGACATAGTTTCACATGTGAGGCAGCGTGGTGAAATCAAGTTCTTGTCAAAATAATGAAATCGAAGAGTCAGAAATTTTTCAGTCAGTTCGGGAATTTTTTCAAATTTTTTTTTCTTTTGCTCAACATCTTTTATGTTCTGAGAAAAATATATTTCCGTGTGACAGGTTACTGAAAAACGTTGATTAAAGCCACAAAATGTGTAACTTTTAAGTTTTCAAGGACTCTCCAGCTATTGAAGTTACCAAACTGTGGCTGTCATTTTCTCGCTAATTTTACCTCTGAAACCTGGTGACCCCACCACCTTTAATCGCAAATATCTAGACTTTTATTTGAGATTGCTGAGTATTTTTTTAATTGAAATCAAAGCAAAATGAATAAGTATTCAGATGATATCAGCAGCTCCTCATGCCCAAAAATTGACGAGCACCTGATCCCACCGCGTCGCGACACTTACTTATTACATGTTTTACCACTACCGTCCCCATAAAGCAAGACTAATCAAGCTCAGAATCAAAGCGCTATAATTATCGTGGTACACGGTAATCGACTAGTTGTTATCGTTATTATTATTATTATTATTATTATTATT